ACAGGTACCTAAGCACATGAGTAACCATGTGTACTCCCCCACATAGAGTAACTTTAAGTGGAGCTCCCTCACACAGCATACATAACAGATGTCATAGCAAAAACAGCAGAAGCAGACTGATTTTTAAAAAAATCTCTCTGTGTGTATGTGTCTGTCTGTCTGTCTGTCCACTCACACATCCATGTGTGTGAAGGAAGATGCATATCTGTCATGTGTATGTGTGAAAATCAGAGGACAGCTTCATCAGGTGTCAGTATCCCCCACCACTCTCTTGTTTGGGACAGGAACTCCTATGAACCCCACCCCCACCCCAGGCGCAGCAGGCCAGCTGTCCCGAGAGCTTCTGAGCATCTTCTGCCTCCACCTCCCATCTCCTCACAGGCACACTAGGACTACAGTCACATGGCACCATGAGCTATACATGGGTTCGAGGCATTCAAACTCCGCCCTTCAAGCACTTTACCACTGAGCCACCTCCCTAGCCCCATGTAACTGATTTTTAAATTATAAGAGGAAATAATGGTTTATAGTTTTGAAAGCTATTATTTGGAGAGTATAAGAGTTATAAAAAAATCAGTGGGCCTTCCTCTGTCTCTCTACAAATGAATGAATGAATGAATGAATGAATGACTACTTCTGTACATATTCATCTCTCCCTTATTTACTCCACTCATAGATTATTTATATACACCTCTGGAAAAAATTTAAATGTTAACTAATTGGGGCTGGAGAGATGGCTCAGCAGTGAAGAAAGAGCACACACACACTGCTCTTCCAATCTGAACTCTCAGTACTCACACACGGCAGCTCACACCCACCTCCAGGAGATCTGACGCTCCCTTCCAGCCTCTGGGGACACCTGCATTCACACGTACATAGTCCCACACAGATACATACATATCACAAAAAATAATAATAAACCAAATCTTAATAAAATGTTAAAGAATTGTTTGTAACTGTTTGTGATTTTATTTTGTTTTTCTGAGGCATGAATGGTGTCATGTATTCCCAGGCTGCCCTTGGCCTTGCCACACAGCTGAAGATGAACTCCTCAGCCTCGCCTCCTTCTCCATAGTGCTAGGATTACCGGTGTGCCCAGCTTACTGCAAAAGTAGTCATGCAACATTTCTCGTAGTTTCTTCCAAGAGCAGAGCTTCTCTTATTTTTTGTTTTCTAACCAGTTATTTGACTCTTTAGTGTAAACTAGCAAGAATATGTACCCCAGAAACATGCTAAGGAATAGATTTCTATTTCAAGTTCTTTAACAGTAAGAAAAATCAAAGTTTGATCTATAGATAGTTTTCTTGTATATTTTTTGAACATTTATTTGTTTCCTACATGAATTTTTTGTCAGCATATATGTCTATGTGGTATGTGTGTACCTGGTGCCTTTGGAGGTCAGAAGAGGTTGTCATATCCTCTGGGACTGGAGTTACAGATGGTTTTGAGCTGCCACATGAGGGCTTGTGTCCTCTGGGACAGCAGCAGGACAGCAGCAAGTGCTCTTAACCACTGAGCCATAGCTCTAGCTCCTAATAAGTATTTTTATTTATGAGTCTGAAGGGGTGTCTATGTGTCAGTGCAGGGGAGCCCCTGGATGGCACTTACAGGTGGTTGTGAGCTGCCATATAGATTCAGGAACCAGATTCTGGTCCTCTGCAAGAGTAGCACACGCTCTCAACCACGGAGCCACCTCCAGTCCTGATCTCCAGCTTTGCATCAATTTTCTCATAGCCTGTTTCCTACTGGATACAAGCCAACAAGTACCCTCTCATCAACGATGAACGCATGCAAAGGGAGGGCACGCTGAGAGGCCACAGTGGGTACAAACATGAAAGGCTTGCAGCTCTGAGGCTGGGTTAACATCACCGTAACCAGCAGAGTAAGGAAGCTCAACCTGGACCATATGTCACTCCTCATCATTGATAAGCGTCACCACAGAGATCAACAATAAATTCATTTAACTGAATGCAGATTAAATTAAAAATGGAATAACAAGATTACAAGCAAAACACCATCTGGAAATCTACGGCAAGGGACCCTGGGATGAATCTCTATGTTCCTACATCTGGGGATAGGTTCACAGCATATCCTATTTACCCACACTAAGACTACTAGGCCTCTCCCCTTAGAGTGCCTCCAAGGGCTAACGATCCACAGGGCTTTATAAAGTCCTACTCTGTGCATAAGATGCCACGACAGTCTAGTGGATGTCTTTTGATCTCCCAGTGTGTCTGTCTCTGTCTGTCTCAGTGTTTCTACCTCCTTCCCTCAACCCCCATTACCAAGCTGGGTAGTAAGCCTAGAGTTTCATGCAGGCTACTCAAGTTGTCCACCACTGAGCCATATCCCCAGCCCAATTTCATAATTTGTTAAACACAATTACATCATGGATTTCTTTCCCAAAGTAAAGCAAAGAAAATAAGGGCAAGCCAGGGTCTCTGAAGACACAGATGAAGCCAAACACAGGTCAGTGTTTTATCTCCAGTGTGTCCAAGTCCATGAAGTAATATTCACAGTCATGGCATGGGACAGAGGCCATGTCATTATTATACATAATTTATGTAAATTGTTTTATACCAACAAAGCAACCAGGCAATTTCTTCTTCTTCTCCCCCCCCCCGCCCCAAAACAGAGTTTCTCTGTATATCCCTGGGTATTTTGGAACTCACTCTGTAGACCAGGCTGGCCTCGAACTCAGAAATCCACCTGCCTCTGCCTCCCAAGTGCTGGGATTAAAGGCGTGTGCCACCACTGCCCGGCCAACCAGGCAATTTCTAAGTTAAGCACACTTACTACTATTCAACCATTTTTGCCAAGTCTTGACTCCACAGTCGTATTCTTTATGTGTATGTGAACAGATGTGTGTAAATGTGAGTGTAGGTGTCGAGTGTCATACACATGTGGCAGTCAGAAGGTAACTTTAGGAGTCAGTCCCTCCTTCCACCCTGACATCGGGGGCTTGAGCTGCATTCATCAGGCAGGCATAGCACGTGCTTCTGCCCACTAAGCCATCTCACCAGCCCCTACAACCCTAGTCTATATCCACTGAATACCTGTAATAACAAATCAAGAGCTCCCTGCATCAAAAGTGATGGTTAACAGGAGAAACAGACACCCAGAGCAGGAGGAAAGGGGGAAAACAACATTGCCAACTTAAGGGGAACTGTCAATGACACAGAGAAATCCACTCTTTGCAGTACCCAGTCAACTCTCGTACATCCAATAAGCCTTTTCTCAGCCCGCCACAGCAGGAAGATAAAGGATCTGCATGATACAGACACACTCACCCAAGCCACTGAGCGTGTACAGCAGGTCACCAGTGTCAAGAAAGATAGGTCCGTGTTCCTGCTGCCCTTCCTCTTTATAAAACAGCTTGTAGCCCCGAATGGTGGCTGGGTCCTCGGTGTCTTGCAGCCACCTCACAGAGATGGTAGTACAATTCAGTGGTTCCAAATGCAGTTCAGGAGACTTGGGGGCTAGAAGAGTGCACCAGGACAACAGAGAACAACACATACCTCTCAGCTTCAAGCCAAAGTTACAAAGTCCAACCATTACACTTTGACCCAATGTTCACAATTTCAGTGACAAGCTAAAAGGATGGGCTGCCCTTCCAGAGGACCAGAGTTCGAATCCCAGCACCCACATGTCAGCTCATAACAATCAGTTATCCAGTCCCAGGGATCTGACGACTTTTTTGGCCTCTGTGGGCACTGTATACCAAGTGGTACACAGATGTGCATATGGGCAAAACACCCATACACATAAAACAGAAAATAAGACTCTTAATGTATATACTTATATCAACATAGACATAAAGTACACGTAAGCAAGAGTGAGACATTCTAATTCAAAAGTAAAAACATTCTTTTTCTTCCTAAACAGTCCTTGGGAGGTGTTACCTTTCACGCTTGTGGCTTTGGGCGTCCTGTGTGAGGTCCACACCGATGACTCTCCCAGACCCACTCGGGTAGCAGCAGTAATCCGGACCAGATAAACACTGTCTGGCTTCAAGTCTTCTAGAAGATACTCATACACAGTCCCTGGGAGCTCTACAACTTGAATGGAATTCTCAGTGCTCAGGCGGAAGGACAGTCGGTACAGCACCACTTGGCCCCGCCGGTACTTGGCCGGGATTGGCAGCCAGGAGACGAGAATGTTGGTGGGACTTTGACTCGTCAAGCTAATTTCGGGAGGTCTTAGAGGCACTAGTGAAATAAGAGAACACATTGTTCACAAAGATTTATAATCATTATTTATGGAATCCTTTTAACACATAACCTGGCCATATTGGAGATGCTTCCAGCTGGAGAAGGGTTTCAGAAAGGAAACGCAAGGAGGGTGCAACAAAAGTAGGGGCGATGGTTGGCTGTGATGAATATGGGCATATTTGCCAATTATATGAGAAAAAGTCACAAATAAGTCTACCAAAATCTGTCCGAAGCTAAGGAGAGTGTGTCGCAGGACAGCAAGGAAGCCCAGAATCCAAGGTTGCAACTGAGAAGTTTGATGTATAAAAAGTCTCATCCTAAAAATGAATGTGAAGTTTACTTATTTTTTATAATTATTCTATTTATTTATGTATATATGTATGAACTTGAGCATGCTGGTGTTGTATGGCATCATCCTCTGAATTAAATCATGCCAGGAAAAGTGTCAAGTCTGGAAAGCCCAAGCTTGGAAGATTCTCCAGGACCCCTTTATAAATGGAGTAATCAACTGCCAGGCAAGGAGACACTGAGCCGAAGGGGGATTCCTGCCTAGAAAAATCTCATATTATCATTATTATTATTATTATTTTAAAACCATCTACTATCTTTTTAAAGAGCTATTTTATGAGTACCAGTGATTGCCTGTACATAAGTTTGTGTACTATGTGCATGCAGTACCCTTGGAAGTCAGGAGGACATCAGATCCCCTGAAACTGAAGTTAGAGAAAATTTTCAGTCTGTGTGTGTGTGTGTGTGTATGTGTGTGTGTACATATAGGTCCTCTTCAAAAGCAACAAGTATCCATTTCTTTATTGCCCATAAAACTCATGTTCTATCCATTATACTGACAACCTAATTAGAAAATACAAAATGTTTAGGGTTTTTTGCTTTTTTTGCTTTGTGTGTTTTTTAGTTGTGGCTCTGCGGGTCAACCAATGGATCTCTAACCACTAGGCAAGCACTCTATCACTGAGTAAATATAAAAATTTACTCTTAAAATGTATACTATACACTATCCATGAAAGGTGCTCTAAGAGCCAGAAAGACAGTTCATCAGTAAAGTCTGACGGCTGGAGTGCAATCCCTGAGACATACATAGAGGAAGGGACAAAACCAATTCCTACAAACTGCTCTCTGGCCTAAATACAGATACCATGGCAAATGCATCTACACACAAACAAACAAACAAACAAATATTTAAGTGCTCTTTATCAGGGCTGGAGAGATGTCTCAGCATTTAAGGACACATACTAATCTTGTAACAGAACCCAAGTTTGATTTCTAGCACCCACATTGAATGTGGCTCACAACTCCAGCTCCAGAAAATCTAGTGCCCTCTCTGGATACTGAGGACACACACACACACACACATACACACTTGAAAAATAAAGTATTTTTTAAAGTATCCTTTATCATGTTATGGCAAAGACCATAACATGAGACTTGAGACTTGACAGAGCAGCAGGCCTGCAGTTGAGCATAACTATTTTCATTTAACCAGACAGACTCACTCATTGAAAGTGACCAAGTCTACAAATGTTCACACTTGATAACCCAGGACTGTGTTTCCTTACCGTCTTCCAGCGTGTTCTGTGTTACATGATCTGACATCTGGCTGGCTCCCATTGGCATGTATGCCACGATGTAGAAAGTATAGTTGCTGTCAGGTTCCAAGTCATCAATGATATAATGAGTCGTGTCATTTCCAAGGACCACCTGATATTCCTCGTTATTTAAACCTAGACCAAAGTACCCATGTTTTAAAATGACAAATATTCAGCCAAGTGGTAGTGGCAGGTGAATCTATATGAGTTTGAAACCAGCCTCATCTACAAATGGAGTCCAGGACAGCCAAGACTACACAGGGAAACTCCATTTCCAAAACAACCAAAAATAACAATAATAAAAAGACTAATATTCAAAATAAAATTAGCAAGGCCATTTCTCTTCACAGTTATCTCTGTTGTCTTCTATAGCCCGGCACACAAAACCCTTCAGTGCGCAAAAAACTCCTTGTTGCCTAAAAGTAACCAAGTTTTTTTAATAAAAAAAAAAATGTACTGGTTAGAACACTTCCTGAAATGAGTCCATCTTCTCCAAAGGTCAGAAGAGGACGGGGCTGTAAGGACTGGTGAGAGATGAAAGCCCAGCACAACAGAATACTGTAATGCATCAAGCAAATGTCCCAGCTTAAAACCCAGTTTTCTGTGGAACACAGAGACAGTGGGGCATGCAGAGAGTCTGCTTTTTACAAAAATAATCTAAATGAAAAGTTGGGCTGCAAAGCTTCTCATTCTGCCCCTAGAGAACATATTACATGGGCCAACACAGGCCTTTTCTTTATTTAATACTAAAAGCAAAATGGAAGAATAAACTCAGAATGTTTTGTCCAATGGTGAATATTCAGTTTTTTAAAGAAGGAGACAAATTCTCAGAGATTCTTAATAAACTATGCAAGGCAAGGTACAGAAGAGGATTTGTCCATGTGGGCTTCATTCCTGGGGTGCAGCCTTGGAGAAAGGAGCTAAGACACTGCCAGCCGCTGTGCACAGCTACGGGCAGCACTTGTCAACTCTCTCACTCCGCTCCCTGCACCAGCCCCTTCTCCCTGCACTGGATTTATAAACAAAACAGAAGGCACATTCCAGCACGGAGTTTTCCCACATTTCTGAATTAACTTCATAGCATTTTAATTAGACAAGATTAGAGGCGTTTCACAACACACTGGCTAATGTCTCATTAATTAGGGATTGCATAGTACAATTTCTGACCTACTAAACAAAGTCCTTGCGTTCAAATTAAAAAGCCTTGTTCTGCCCCTGAATAGAAGGCTGAGTGGCATGCAGGGGCTCTAATGAAACCAGTACAATGGTGAACAAGTGTGGGCCCCACCAAGCCAGCCTTCCTTTCACCTTCCTAAGTCAGCAAAGAGAATGAATACACTCTAGCATGCTCGTAACAGGACATTCTTCTTCCAACCAGCACCCTTGAGTTACATTCAATATCCATTTTCAAAACACTGCTTAAAAGTGTAAAAAACCAGCATCAGCCAAGAGCCAATCCCCTGTCTCAGCCACACCTGGTGTTAGCATCACACTATTCTTTGAATGTCCCCTCTAGTCATAATGTAAGCTGCATAAAACCAGACTGTTTCTGTACTAGCATTCATAAACCCCAGTCAATGGAGAAATCACTAGGATTTGTGAATAGTTTTTCTATTTCTACAACAGTTTTGCCTAAAAGAAAGGTAAAAAGGATTTTTTTTCTTAATCACCAAAATGGAACCAGTAATTGGAACCAGTAATACCTACATGTATGTATGTGCAACACATACGTGCCTAGCACCAAAGGATGTCAGAAGAGAGTGCTGGATCCCTTAGAGCTAGGGTTACAGGCAGTAGTAAGCCACCTGGTGTGGGTTCTGAGAACAGAATCCAGGTCCTCAGCAGAAACAGAGCAAGTGCTGTAAGCACTGAGCTGTCTCACCAGTTCCTGATATTTAATTTAATACAGTAAAAGAGATATCACAAAAAAATCTTGTTCAATATTTTTTCATAATATTTATTTCTTTCAGCGGTACTGGGGATTGAGCCCAGGGCTTTATACATGCTGTTCAAGAAGTCTATCATTAAGCTACAGCCCACCCTGTTGTGTTTAATTTTCTTTCAAAATGAAAATATTCAACATATATAAAATTTAAATTGCAGAATTTAGCTAGGTGGTAAGCACGATTTAATCCCAGCACTCAAGAGGAAAAGGCAGGTTGGATCTCTGAGTTTGAAGCCAGCCTAGTCTACAAAACAAAGTTCCAGAACAGCCAGGACTACATAGAGAAAACACTCTCTAAATAAATAAATAAATAAATAAATAAATAAATAGATAAATAGATAGATAGATAAATAAATTCCAATACAAAACAAAAAGAAAACAAACAAAAGAAAAGAAAATGCAGAATTTCATATGCTTACATTCCCCTAAAAAATAGCATGTTAGCTGGACACGGTAATCTATATCCTTAATCCCAGTACTCAGGAGGCAAAGGAATCTCTGTGAGTTCGAGACCAGCTGGTCTACATAATGAATTCCAGGCCAGCCAGGGCTACAAAGTGAGACCCTGTCTCAAAACAACCATCCTCCATAAGAACATATCTTAAGACCAGCTGGGTTTGCTCTCAAAGACCATCACAGCAGGGTTTGTCTGACTGTTGACATTCTGCCCAAGAAGAGTATGGAGAGGGCCATGTACCTTCACCTGAGTATCTGTGTCCAGCCACACAGCCTGCAGGAAGTGCATGCAACTCAGCCTTAATTGCACTTCGCCTCAAGGTCTCAGGAAGGAGCTAGAGGACAGAGCTTAGAGGAGACCTGGGCAAGGGAAGAAGGACTGCCATATGTTTGCCTACAGAAAAGCCATTGTGTGGGATAAAGAATCTCTGTGTGACACTTGGGGGGCTATTTGTGCTCCTGTCAGTAACTCCTCACAGTCTCTACATAAGCCCTATAATTTCACTGTGGAACAGATCATTGATTTTTCATTGGACCTTAAAAAGAGAAAGGAGTTAATGTTATACAGGTCCCCAGGGTGAAAATTCTCTTAACAATTATGTAAGCTTTTACTTATTCTGAAGACAAATATTTCATTTATTCTTGTTTGGTTGGTTGGCCTCAAATTTTCTATGTAGTCGAGGATGGCCTACAACTTCTGATTTTCCTGGCTTTCCTTCCTAAGTGTTAGTTTCATGGGCATGAGCCATCACATCAGGTGTCTGTAGTTCTGGGGATCACACCCAGGGACCTATGCATGCCAGGCAAGCACTTTACCAATTAAGCCATGTCTCTAACCTCTGGAAACAAACCCGTGACTGCAAACAGCACTTACTAAAGGCTTGTAAGCTGCTTACCTTCTGCCTTCATGTAGTGCACAGAGTAGGCAATGACCTTGTCTGAATTGTACAGTGGTCTCTCCCAAGCTAGAAGGATAGCAGAGCTTGACATGGTTTCAGCATGAACATTGTAAGGAGCGCTGGGTCTGTCTTCTGACATTACCACGGTCAATCTGGCTCGAGACAGAACAGATCCTTGGCTGTTTTCAGCCATGCACTGATAGATAGCATCGTCTTCTGGGATAATCTGATTAATGACCAATTTGCTGAGGAAATAAAGAAGTATTTACAACCATAAAAAAATCCTAAGAATGACATTCAAAAGCACCTTTTGTTAAATGCACCTTTCATTTTATACAAAAACATGCTGAGAACAACCAGGTCTAATGAAAAATAATCTACATTAATTACTTAAAGTTACTCTGATTTATATTTTCAATCTTCATTAGCACTTATGGTAGTCAAATTCTCTTTGCTTTAATCGCTTTTTAAAAAAATAGCTTTTAGGGGCTGGAGAGATGGCTCAGTGGTTAAGAGCACTGACTGCTCTTCCAGAGGTTCTGAGTTCAAATCCCAGCAACCACATGGTGGCTCATAGCCATCTGTAATGAGATTCAACGCCCTCTTCTGGTGTGTCTGAAGACAGCTACAGTGTACTCATAAGTAAAATAAATAAATCTTAAAAAAAAATAGCTTTTAGTAAGAAAGCTACTACTTTATTTATTTATTTATTATCTATTACTCTATTCTACAGTCTATACTTAACTCATATTGTAATATACACATAAAGTTCAGATCAACAGAAATTTTAAAGTTTCGTTCAACTAAATAAGAATGTTACAGGAATATATATATATATATATATATATATATATATATATATATATATATCTCAAAGACAAGTTCTCATCATGTAGTCCTGCTGGCTGGTCTGGAACTCAAGGTGTAGACCAGGATGGCCTCAAACTCACAGATCTGCCGTGCCTTCCAAATACTGGGACTAAAGTCATAAGCTACAGTGACCGTCCAACTTTCATTCTTAAGGTCATTAAATTTGAATGAAGAACTTGAAAGGAAGTAAATTATTTCATTCATTTTTTTTCTCATTTGATGGAAGAAGTAACTGAAACACAGAGTCCAAGTTTGCTGTGGTCACTTAGCCAGCCTACTTTGGCTAGAACTGCTGTCTGGGGGACTGTTTGCATAAGGTCCATTATAGCACATCACATTGGATCCATGTAAAAATACAAAAGGATCGACGGCCCACTAATGCTATAAACCTTAATTTCTTGCATTTAGTGTTAACAGGCATTATTTTATTTAAAACAGTAGCCACATAACATAGCTCACCTGTTGTACATTTTAATCCTGCCATTTGAATGTATCCGTCTCCCATTCTTTAACCAGGACATTTTGGGTGATGGGATTCCTTCTGCTTGACACACAAACCGTGCGGTGCCAGCTCGTGGCCTTGTTAAACTTTCAGGCCATTCAACAAATGAAGGAGGAGCTATTTCAAAGGGAAAAAATATATTCTATGACTTCGATAGGAATGACAAGAGCAAGTGAAGAAAGAATACAAAAATGAGATGAATCCCACATACAAAGATAACTGACAGTCTGAGTTTCCTACAACTAGTTAGGTAATGGTACCTTTCATTGTCAACTTGACACAACCTAAAATCACTTGGCAGGGAATGCTGACCTGTATTGAGTGGAGAAATCAGCTGAGCACAAGCAAACAAGTGAGCATGCGTGAATTCATTTCACTTTCCTCCTGACTGTGAATGAGATAAGAATAGTTGTAGGAAGTTCCTTTAACTTCTCCACAAATATGACCTGTAATCTGGAAGTAACTATAATCTAAAATTAACCCTTTATCCCCTAAATTGTCTTTTTGGGGGGGCAGTAGAGGTATCACAGCAAAATAAACAAAATAAGGAGAGTGCTTCCATCTTATGTTCAGCACCCACTTTCCCTCACTGAGACCACCTGTGAACACACTGTCAATACTCATACCCAGCAGCCGTCTTAACTAAACCCAACGGGAGGACACTTATGAACATATACAGTCCCTGAGAGTTTAATTTCACACTGTTAAATGTGTGTAGATATGTGGATGGATGACAAAGGAGGCTTTAATAAGAAGCATGGAGCCATACACACAAACATGGTGACTTTGGCACGATTCTAGAGCTGTATTTAACATAGAAATTTAATTTTTTCCTTTACAACTCCCTGTTGAGTTTTATAATACTTATTATTAACTTCCCTATCACTGCTGTCAAACTCCAGTTAACAGCAAGCTATATGGAGCTGGAGGCTACCTCAGTGGCTGAGAGCATTTGCTGCTCTTACAGAGAACTCAAGTTCAGTTCCCAACACCCACATGGGCAGCTCACAACTTCCTGTAAGCTCCAGGAGAGACAGCCTCTTTGGGCACTGCATTGACATGCATACACCTATATACATACATACATACATACATACATACATACACACACATACACACACACGAACACACACACACAATTCAAAACAAAACCTTACAGATGAAAACCACAAAAGAAATTAAAATGCCAAAAAAAATGGCAAACATTAAAACACAAACTTCTCTGATTATAGAAAGAATGCATACCTAATACAGTTAACGTCGCCATTGCAACTGTAAAGTTGCGTGTGCCTGGGGTGGTGGCCCGACAAACGTAAACTCCAGCATGCTGTAGCTTGACATCTGATATAATGAGATTGCCATTTCCAAGTACTCGAGTATTGAAGACATCAATGGACTTGTGATCTATTTCAAAGAAAACATGGAAGTTGAAACAAGGAATTTCATCTGAAATTATACCAAAAGATCGCTATCCATGAAATCAGTCATTAAAAAACAACAATTTCTCTGGGGCATAAACTCTCCCTATGTTACAAAACTAAAACGAAGTTGTTCAGATGCAACTGCCAAATGTGTGTTTTCTCTATAAAATACACATTTTATCAGTTTCATTAAAAGGAATAAAGGTCAAGGAAAGACTTCCTTGACTCCCACCCCCAGGGAGGACGGCTTACCAAGACGGCTCCAGGAAATGATGGGCTTAGGATATCCTGTGGCCATACACTCTAGCACAACTGTCTGATGTAGAGACGCGGTTACATTCTGTGGACTGGCTATAATGGTTGGCATGTAGAAGGATCTGGTCTCATTAGCTTTGGGCAGGAAAAGGTAGAACACATAAATAAATCATGAGAAGAATATTAAAACAATGATTCTTCTTTACTTTCCCATTTAGTCTTTCATTTTCTGAGGTAGAATCTCACGTAGCCTAGGTTGGCCTTCAGTTCCCTATGCACTTAAGGCTCCTGGTCTCTACCCTGAAAGTGCTGGGATTCCAGCTTACTTTTCTTTCCTGTTCATTTCCTCTGTCTCTTAGTCCTTTCCTTTCTTCCTTTCTCTTCCTCACTCCCTCCCTTCTTCTTCCTTCTTTCCTTCCTGTATGTGTGTTTATATGTATGTACATATACAAGGCCAGAAGAAATCGGATATCCTGCTTTGTCATTCTCCACTTTACTACTGTGAGACAGGGTCTGTCACTGAACCTGAAGCTAGGTGCACAGACATCAGGCTATCATATTCTTCTTCTCTCTAGTTCCACAGCACTGGGGTTACTGGCATACAGCTTTTATGTGGGGACTGGGACGGGAACTCAAGGTCTCATATTTGTACAAGTGCTCTTACAAAGCCATCTTCCCAGCCTACACCATTTGTTTGTTTTTTGTTTGATTTGTTTTTCAAGACAGTTTCTCTTGTGTAGCTGTCTTGAATCTCGATCTATAGACCAGGCTGGCCTTGAACTCACAGAGATCTGCCTGTCTCTGCCTCCTAAGTGCTGGGACTAAAGCATGCATCACCACTACCTAGCTCTTCCTTCTTTCTTTCTCTCTTTCTTTCTCTCTCTCTTTCTTTCTTTCTTTCTTTCTTTCTTTCTTTCCTTTTTTCCTTCCTTCCTTCCTTCCTTCCTTAAAGATTCATTCATTTACTTTATGTATGTGAGTACATTGTAGCTGTCTTCAGACACAACAGAAGAGGGCATCAGATCCCATTACAAATGGTTGTGAGCCACCATGTGGTTGCTGGGAATTTAATTCAGGACCTCTGGAAGAGCAGTCAGTGCTCTTAACCACTAAGCCATCTCTCCAGTCCCTTTCCTTCGTTTTTTTAAACAAGATTTGTTTAAGTTCTATTGAGAGTCTAACTCATATCATATACAATTCACCCTTCACCCACAAGATTTATTTAACTCAATCAGTTATATAACTATTACAACCAATTTTACAACAGTTTTTAATTATCCTTGCTGTTGTAATTTCCTCAGAGATTGAAACATTCCATCTTTCAGGGAAGCTCATTACCACCAAAAGAAAAGAACTCAAAATAGCTTAGGAAGTCCCAGAAACAGATCAGATTCACCATGCCCCTCATACCCCAAGAGTACAAACAGTAAGGACTGCTGAGGAACACTCTCTGAGGAGCTGACCTACAAAGAAGACTCTTAGGCAAGTCCAGCCACCTAAAAGAAACAGAGATCAGTGAGCTCCCTGGGAGACACAACCAATGAGTCACTTAGAAATGTCACCATCCAACCTCTTAGCTGCCTGCAGTCTGTGCAGTGTGCCCCAGGTCCCACCTTTTGTGATCTGTCGTGTACTCTGGGATACGTGCCTGGGTGATGCAGCTGCCTTGGAGTCATGTCTGCTCCTGTAAGTGACCTCTCACCCACATTCCTATAAGTAATTCCAATAAAACTCATTGGTTCACCAAGCTGGACTTTGGTGGCATTCATACTTTGGTCTGTAGTGGGATCCCTATTTGGGGTGCGTGTGTCTCCCCAGGATAAGTCTGTCACACAATACCTCCAAATGCATATCTGTTAGCAGTTAATTTTTTTCCTGGTTTTGTGTTTTTATTGGGGTTTATGGGCAGGAGCTGCCATCATAAAGTATGCCCCTCCCACGAAGCAGGTCGTTCCAATCCTCCTGTGATTTCTGGGACTTTTTCTTTTTCTTTGTGTTGCTCTTTGTGCAGCTAGCAGCAGCCTCAGGCTCCTCCTTAGAAATCTTCCTTTTCTTCTTAGGGGTGGGGCTTGCTGCCTCTTCTGGTTCACTAGCCACTTCTTCCTTAGGTGAGGATTTCTTTCTCTCAGGAACACTTATGCTGCTTCTAGCCATCTCTTCAAGATCACTGGCCAACTCCTCCTTGAGAAAAGCTTTCTTTTTCTTGGTTTTAGACAAAGAGACAGGTGGATCTTTCATTCCATTTTCCTGTAGGATCTCTTGGGGTTGTTTTAGCTTTTTCTTCTTCTTAGGTTTTCTTAAGTGGAGGAGTATCATATCAGAAACAAAATGTTTTATTGGCAATGGACATTATCTTTCTGTCTCTTTCTGTATTTTGTGCTTTTAAAAACAAAAGTGAAAGGCTGAAGAGATAGCTTAGTGGTTAAGAGCACTGACTAGTTTTCCAGAGGTCCTGAGTTCAATTCCCAGCAATCACATGGTGGCTCATAACCATCTGTAATAGAATCTGATGCCCTCTTCTGGTGTGTCTGAAGACAGCTAGCTACAGTGTATCCACATACATAAAATAGTAAATCTTTTTTAAAAAGTGAAAAATGGCCGGGCAGTGGTAGCGCACACCTTTAATCCCAGCACTTGGGAGGCAGAGGCAGGTGGATTTCTGAGTTTGAGGCCAGCTCGAGGTCTACAGAGTGAGTTCCAGGACAGCCAGGGCTACACAGAGAAACCCTGTCTTGAAAAAAAACAAAAAACAAAAAAAAAAAACAAAAAAAAAGTGAAAAATGTATAAAGCAATCATTCAATGTTCTAAGTAGAGTACAGTCCAGGCATAGCAGAAGAGAAGGGATACATTCCCTTCCGCCCCTGCCTGGTCCTTTGGGCTGGAGCAGACACAGAGTCGGTCTGCTCCTGTCCTGTGGAAAAACTGAATACTGAGTCATCGAGGAGCCACTGCACTCAAAGCAGTGGGTAAGAACTCCATCTCACTCCCTAAGCCCCAGAGATACATCTGGGAGCCAGGGACATTCAGGACACAGCAGCTACCCAAACCCCACCCCTCCAGAATTCCACTTCCCTTCTGCCCCTGCCTGGTACTTTGGGCTGGAGCAGACACAGAGTCAGTCTGCTCCTGTCTTGTGGAGAAACTGAATCCTGAGTCATCAAGGAGCCACTGCACTCAGAGCAGTGGGTAAGAACTCCATCTCACTCC